ACCAAACCTCCAAAGCAGAATCCTTTTCCTGGCATAGTCTCTTTAGTTTATCCCTGTCAGAAATTGTGTCACTCAAATTCAGTCTTTCAGATTGTAAAGATTCTTTAAGCCCCTCCAATTCCTCCTGCATCTCTATTTCCTGTTTCTTTTTGGCATGCAATTCTTCCAGCAACTAGAAAGTGTAATAGTTAGTTAGTCCCAACCCTATCGATAACAACAAACTCAATGACAAGCACTTTAAGAATCACATTTCCAACAATAGCATGGCCAGGTAAACTACATAAGTACAGAATAAAAGCAAGTTAGGAATCCAAACATAGCTGGGCCGGATTGGATATAATGGGCAAATCTTTTAAAAAATAAAACCAGTTTCATCATTGTTAAAAGAAAAGAGAGAACGAATTGGAAAAGAAGAAACCCAGAAATTGTTAATGGAGCATTACCATGTGTTACTGGACATTTTACTTTTGCAGTTACCGCACGATAAGTTATTAGGTTATGTTTATAGTTTATCTTCATGGTCATTGTGAACTATAGAATTATTTTAAAGTGGATGGTGATATAATAGAATTTCCAAGGTTAAGATCCAATTTGAAGCTTTACTTGTTTTCTCTCAAAAGTCAGGACTAGACCAATTTTTTTCGCGTATAGATTCAAGAAGCATAAATAAGTCAATCCAAAGTCCAGCATGGATTGTCTAACACAAAAAAAGATTAAAAGGCAAGCTCAAGTTGGTCATTAGTAGTATCAGAATCTTGAACAATGTTTACTAGCTTGATCCAAGCGAAAGCCAACCTTATGATACACATAAAATAAACAACCTCAGCTTGAATAAGCCGCTGACACATGAAAGCATTATAAGCCAATGCTAGATCATAATGCAGGACCACCTGACTGAAATAAATATAGATAAGTGCAATTTGTCATTTTCAGGTTACTTACAAAATGATCTGGTATCATTAATAAGCAAACATGTAGTATTCTGATTTGATTTCTAATTTTCAGCATATTGTTGTAAATTGGCATCTTGCAAGATTGTGACAAAATCTAGATATCACTGTGTCATTAAGCATAGAATAAAATAGATTCATGAGTAAAGGATTCTTGGTTTCTCTATACTATAAAAAGATGCAGTTAAAAAAACCTAGATTTAAAACTCAGGACTGGACATGCAAGGGCTTAGGGAACCAAAATCATTCCCTTTACTTCAGAATAATCACATATAATGTACATTGTGCTAGTAAGAGATGTTTTCCAGTAGTTAAGGTTAAATATCACGATGTGTAAATCAAAAAGAGCCAGACCACACAGCTTACTTGATCTGCATTTTTCTGAGATTCTTCAACAACTCTCGACAACTCCTGCACGCGTTTTTCATAACCATCGACATTTGGAGCCTTAACTATCTGTGGAAGATCACCTTGAATTGATCCACCAGAAGCAGACCGTGCTTTAGAATATCTACGAAGCATCACATCATTTATGTGTGTTTGTAGTGCAACACATATTTCTTCCCCCTGTAGAATATTAAGTAAATGCACTGATATTTATAATACCCTTTTGTGTTTAAGAATTACTAGAAACCTAGTAAGAAATCAAATCCAAACCAAAGTGAAAAACTCCTATCACCTAACCTGTTTAGTTTCAAATTGGAAAATGTGAAGCACTCCAGCAACTCTCATCTTAAAAAATACAGCAGTATTGCTGCTGCCAAACTGCATGATGTCTCTTAGCTCTGCAGAATGCAAGTATTCTTTGGGAACAGGACGGAAGAAATGAACCTATGTTGTAGAATTAATATGTTAATATTTTTTTAACTTCCTATTTTCTGATAATACAAAAGAATAGAATTATTAAAAAAAAAACAGTTGTAAACTAACCCCGCGTTTGTTGATGCCTAATACAATCCGTCCTGGTAAAAGACCTATCGGATCATCAATCTTCCGAACACTGAAAAATACTGAATTTCCATAAGGAAGTGTTCTCAGTATTCGGAGAAACTGTTGCCTTGCGTCATCCTTCGACAAATGCTCCTACATCAATTAGTAAACCCTTTAGGTAGCAAATTACATAGGTTAATTATGAGAATAAATGTATATCTATCATTTCTGTAACACAGAAAGTGCAGTATCTGGTTATAGTTTTACCATCAAATGAAACCTAGAGATAATCTCAAGCTCCCAGTCCCGCTTTGCTCGAGTTAAAGCAATTTGCCTCGGTAAAAATCTTTCAAGAAGCATTGTCCATTCACTGGAAAACATTTATGGTGTCAGCATTAAAGAATTTTAGTTTAGTAATTAAAATTTAGGACAAATTCTATCAAATTTATCTGAATATCAAAGTGACTAATACTTACACACATGAGTCTGGATGCTCAATAAATCCAATCTCGACCAAAATTTGCAAAGCCGACAGTTGGGCAGCGTCGTCCCGACCAACAGGATAATTCCCCAAAATATAATCATGTTGTAACTGAGAAGAAAAAAACGGATAAAAAAATTAGAGTAAACTAATAGAATACAGTACCACCAATACTGCCAAGTAACATGACATGGCAATTATTTTAGCTACTATCTGGACAACAATGATACTGTGTCAGCTATTCAACTACACACCTGCACATATGAGAGCTGGACAAACATTGGATCCGTTACTGCTTCATCAGATTCTCGAAATAACCGTTTTTTAAATGTAAGTTTGCATTGCAATATCTCTCCTTTACTGCGGTCTTTAGCTGCCTTGAATTCAGCCAGCAGGTCACCGATATACTTATTATCATCTAACCCAATAAATTCCTCTGTGTGTCGTGCGAAAACACGGTCAATATCTAACATAATAAACACTTTATGATTAATTTATATGATATTGAATCAAGGATTACCATTGCCCATTTCACCAGATTTTGAGCCACTGACAACTTTTCTGCATTCAAATAGACTGAAAGTTGAGTAAACTGAAAGCTTGATGATCTCAGCAAGCTCCTGGAAATAAATTTTTTGAAGTCAGTTGTAGCATACGGACACAAACACGAAAGGAAAATAAGTATTTGATTGATATACACTAACAATATATGAAAAATCAAGGGTTATATAAAGTTCCATAACTAGAAAGAGCAGCAGAAAGTGAATTTAGTGGATCAGCAAGAATCCTACTGCATTTCACAAAACTGACAAAGCATGGGGAATTTAGTTATGCCTTCTCAGTCTCAAGTTTGTTAAGTGCTCAAAGACTTTAAATGACAAAGCATGGGGAATTTAGTTATGCCTTCTCAGTCTCAAGTTTGTTAAGTGCTCAAAGACTTTAAAACCATTTCCTTTAGCGAAAAACATTTCTTCCAGTCAATATACAAAACTATTTAATAAAACACGAAAACGAAAAATTATCAATCTTTGTGAGCACAGAATCTAACAAAGGGCAGTAACAGAAGAAAATGTGACCTGGAGATGCATTTAAGATATGTTATGCTCATGATATCAAGAATCAACAACAAAAGGCATCCATATCTTGTTTCTCTTTTCAAACCTCTAATAGTAGACTGACCTTCCTTACTAGTAACATAAAGCAACAAAACATTCTTCTCCATGTTATTTATTTAAAGTTTTGAAGAGAGCAAATGAATCTTTGTCGACAAGAAAAACAAATTTTTTGGAACTATTACAAGAGGAGTGGACATATAGAGATGTTGAATTTAGCAGTCTTATAGTTTTAGTGTGTGTGCCCTCTCAATTTTTTTCTCATCCTTGATCCATCAATTCACCTTGTAATGAGCAGAAGTAATGCTCTTCCACTCCCTTTATTTTGATCTTACATGTATTAAAACGGTCTATAAACAAAAATTAGACGTATTGAGTTCTAACTATTCATGCATGCACCAATTGGTTCTAAGAGTTCAGCATAACACATGTTTCATACATGCATACACACATATACACGTACGTATACATATGCATATGCATACATTCACTGGAGAGGGGGAAAATGACACATTTGGCATTCTAAACGAAGACTACATAAAGACAAGAAATAAAAGTAGAAGAAGGGAAGTTCATAAATACCTCCACAGCATCAGCAACTGTAGTTGCCATGTCATAAGTAATTTCTTCAAAAGTCTCATCCAGGAAGAAAACTATCGTTGTAAGCTTTTTACCAGTCAAAAGAGCCTCGATCTCTTCACGTGCAGGAATTGTTAGTCTGGGTCCAGCCTTGACCGTACGTTTAAGAGCATTCAATGTATTCAATGCTAGAACCTGGACTTCCGCGATAATAGTTGCCCCATGAGCTATATTATGGATATATTCCGATAAATATGCTCCAATATCCTTGCTGGGAGGCATGGAGGATGCACATAAATACATAAGCTCCCATGCTTTTATCAAGAAGCTCCTGCATAACAATGAATGAATTTTCAGAGCAGACACAAAACCTTAGATGAGAATGAATGAAAGAGAAGGAAACAGTTGGTATCGGCCATTAGCTTCTTTTTATCTGCATTTACGAGCATAGTCAAATACCTTTCAGGATTATTTCGTGTTTGCTTTGATAACTGCATGAAAAGTTCATCCCGGAGCTCAGCCCTTTTAAGAGTGTGCTTATAAATCTTTCCAACAAGCTCAATTTGCTCATCTAGATCCATTTGAATTGTTTTTTCAGATGAATCGACCCCCATGTATTTTAATACCATCTGGAACAACTTGACAGAGCGGCTTACAAGATCATGGTTCATTTTAAGCAATGAAGTTGGAATTGGGTCCTGCCAAGATAAAGCATCTCAGTGCGCATGAGCATTATAGACCATGATGGTAACAGTCAGCATTTAGCAATGTTCAACTAACTATTTCATCTGCAGCTTCCAAAGATAGCTACTTATATAAAGCAAAATTAAAGAGACTACCTTTTGGAAACATAGCATATCCTCCACTGTATATTTTTCACGAACTTGAGGACCTACAACTTTCTTAGAGAAAAATCCACGTTTTCCTGCAGAATGAATCTGTTTCTGCATGGCTCTCAAAAATCCTTCAACCTATAAAATGACAGGATACAATTTAAAATATATATTAGCAAAACATGAAAAGTATTCAGACATTGGTGAAACGACACTGCATGGCATGGATAATGTGCTTTCTGAAAAGTAAGAAAGGAAGAGAAAACTATCTGAGAGAATAAGAATGAAACAGCAAAGTAAACTAAGAATTCAATAGAATGGGTCTAGAATAAAATTCCTCTAATTTACTACTTTAGTCTCTTTACAAAAAGCATCATTGACATCTTAGAAGTAAAATTCTTCATAGAAGTTACTAATTATTATCTATTCACCTAAACTTAAGCTGTAATAATACCCATGTATTAAGTGTGATTAAAGAAACGGTCAACTGATTCGATTAGCTTTACAAAATAAAAATAAGGCTTAAGGAATAATATCCATGAGTTGCACTTCATTTTAAAGACAGATATTTAAATTTGTTAATCTTCTCAAGCGTTAGGAAGAATTTTGAAATAAATGTTGCTTAGAATATATAAATGTGCAAAGAAATCAGCAAAGGTTTGGCAAAACAATATGAACAGCACAAATCATCTGCGATTCTGCAAACTGTAAAGAGTCCAGACATACGACAGCAAAGGTGGAATATACCAATAGATGGTGTACAAAGTTTATATATGGACACCGAGGGCAAAGTTCATTGGTGTCTTTTTCTTAAGTATTTAACATACATTTGATTCCATGTACATTCAGGTGAATCAGGCCAAGGAAAAGCATAGGTTATCATTATGCTATGGATATGGAAACTATTTCATTGTCGTCTGTTTAATCATACCAATTAAAAAACTAGCTACGTATCTCAGGCCTATCAGAAGTTTACTATTTTAACTCGAGTTTCAATGAAAACAAAAAACGCATATGGAAGGAATGTTCAGCAGTAACAGGATGTATAAATGTCAGATGAAACTTTTTAGTACATACCTGGAATCTATCCATTAAGGGTATGGCATCTGCAAGCTCTGGTGGCATAGACATTGATAGTGTCATCGGGGTGCTGCAAAAACAAAACTCTGCACATAAGATTTTATGTTTGCGTATCTCGGTGACCCTACGATCTAAGCTCAGTTGAGAACTATATTAAAAAAAGTAATAAAGTTAATTGTATACCGATAAAGAAAACATTGTCCACGAATGCAGGTTGCAAGACATACAACCTGTGACATAATTTTTGGCTTCTTACCAATGTCACAAATTTCTCAGCCCCAGAAATCTTGTGTAGCAAAGGCAACAAGCTATTCCATGCAAAAGATAATAAGTTCACGTTATATTTAGCTTGTTCTGCTGATCTAACAAGCAAAACTATTACATGTAGGAAAATGTCTAGCACTTTGTTACTATTAAATATAATTTTTCTAAGAAAAACCAGTTTTCCAACCTCCTCGTGAGCCAAGCAGGCACAAACCTAAAACCAAATCATAACACAGATAAAGATGTTCCCAATCAATGAAGTAAATCTGGGGTTTCAATTATCTACTTCCAGATTTACCTACCATTAACTCATGGTTGAAGTGGCAGTGCTTTCACATAATATAAACAACTTAAAATGGAAATGTGAATTAGAAGAAAGTGCTTTCACATAATATAAACAGCTTAAAATGGAAATGTGGATTAAAAGAAACCACTTTCACATAATATAAACTACTTAAAATGGAATTGTGAACTTACGGTGGAGCAAAGTTGGAACCATCGCTATCATAACCATCTCCATTCACACTAGCAAGGACACTGTGCAATGGAGTGGCATGGCCAATGCTTGAACCAAATGAGGACCTGCTCATCCTGGAACCCCGGCTCAGTGCAGGTGAATCTTCAACTATCATTCCCAAAATCTAGAAATTGCCCTTTAACTGTTGCTTATAATACCTCCTAATGTTTTTTTATCTCTTTGATAGATACCAAACCTCTTCTTCTAACTGCTCGTCAAACTGATAATCATTGCAGCCTCGGGCAACATACGGCCAATCGTTAGATGTATTGCCCTAGAGAATAATAATGATAAGTCAATTGGTCGTTTGATTTCTTCATAAAAATTGATAATGTGTTTTTACTCGTATACATCAATCTGAACCTTCATATATTCATCTTAAATGCTCTTTGGATGAAACTTTATGACTAAGCACTCATCTTGTGAAAGTTTTCACACTGAATAAAGCATTGAAAAAACAACAAGAACAAAAGGCATAAACATCAATCAAGGTCCATGAATTCTGTTATAAAAACAACAGAAATAATTTTTAAATTAATTAAAATGCAGAAAATGAATTGCCTAAGTCTTACGGATTTTTTTTTACAAACAAAAATTAAAATTATGTTCACAACATGCTCGTAAAAATGACAGGACATGAGGGAAGAGATGGCTTCCTATTCCCTAAGGTCGACAACGAACAAGAATAATTCATAGATTGTGTTTTCTTCAGTTGTCACAAGAATTCATCAAAAAAGGGAGAGAACATATTGATCAAAATGCATTGTTGTCGAAATCAAAAGTGTTAGTAGAGGATGGCAAGTACATTATAGATTGCCATCAACCACTGCGATAAACATATCCAATGGATCCATTCAATCAAAATCCTCATGGATTGTAGTTACAGTGAACACTATCACTAAAATTAAGTAACCAACAAACACCAATATCTTAAATGTGAAATTAATGAAGGGTTTCCTTTCCAGCTACTCCAACAGCCTTAAGAGTGAAGAGTTAAAAAGCAAATTAAAAGAATTAAATAACAACGACTAATCACTTCCTAGATATAAAGTTCTGAAAGGGGAAAAAGAAGAATAACAGTTCAACTCCTCACCCCAAAATCAAATTCCATAGCCATGCGCTTTATAAAAAATTATTTCAGGATTTCTCTTTTAGGCAATTTCGTAAACTATTTAAACAAACGATAGAAAGCCCAGAAAAATCCCAAATTTGCCTCCATCCCACAAGAATGGATTTGTATTTACAAAATGCAGCAAACGAAACCCCCTTCTAAATAGCATCTCATTGAAAAAAAATAAATAATTAAAACTTCTCCAACCCTCAATAGTCAATGAATTATCCTTTCAGCTAAAGCAAACTAACAAAATTAGGAGAAATTACAGAAAGGTGGAAACTTTATCAACCAAACCCCACCAAATTCAACTCAGATCAAAATGGGCACCTTAGATTCAAATCAGAGAACGATAACAAAAGGGAACTTCAAATTCTCGAAGAGGGCAGATCAAAGATTGTACCTTTCGAATGAGGGGTTAAAGAAGAGGAGAAGAGATCATAAAGAGAGAGAAAGCGCCATTGTTTGTTGTGGAGTGTTGTTTTCGTCGCCGGCTTCTTCTTCTCTCTCTGGCGAAGAGAGAGAAAGAAAGAGATGAGATCCGAAAGGGTAAAATGAAGAGGGAATCACGAGGATTAAAAAATTGACAGAGGGGGGCGAGAGAGAGAGCTTAGCTCACTGTGAAGCAATATAATTTCAAACTTTTTTTTGTTATTTTCTTCTCAGAAAATGACGACAGAAAATTTTCAAGATTTTAGCGTTGGGGTCAGAAATGGCCCCTCTTTCTCTCGCAAATAACCAAAAGAGCCACCATGTTTAGATTTTTGTAGAGAGATCCTCATACTTATATTATTTGTAAGGACGTCCCATTACCCCCAATGCATTTTAGCTAAATTACAACAGAGACCCCGAGTTTTGAAGGAATCAGAGAAAGGCCGTACAGCGTTTTAAAGCTGACACATCATCTCCTTGCTTTTTGTTTCTAGCTACACTACAGTGCACCCGTGCGAAGGAGGGCCTTTCATTTTTTATCATTATGATAATCTCGTTGCTACAATATATTTTTAAATGTTATAACGATATATTTTTAAATGTTGTAGTAATATTTTTTTAAAATGCTACAGTATCCTACCTCTGTTACATTAATATGTTTTTAAAAATGCTACAGTAATATTATTACTGATGCTACAGCATCCCGTTTATATTGCATCAGTATCTCTTTGAAAATGCTACGGTAATAATACCACAGTAAATACTGTAGCATGAATAGTGATTCTTGGATCCTCTTATTATTATTATTATTATAGAGGAATAGATAAACTTCAAAATTTCAATGTTGTTTTAATTTACATTATATAGTCTTATGCATGTTTGTTTATGTTTATGTGAGCAATGTAGTCTCTGGTGAAGAGTTTGTAGTGGAGAGCACTTAAAATTTAATAATCAGTTATTACAACTGTTGTGTAATAAACCACCCGCGGGTGGGACTCATGGTCAACAGCTCTCCATGGGGGAGTGTATCTCTCCAGGCTATTGCCCGTTGTTGGTCAGGAGTTCGAATCCTCGTAGCCGGTTGTATGCTCACCAGTTCGCATCCCAGTGGTCCCCACGCTGCTCGCCCGCGCTCTGCCCGTGGGGATGAGCCCCTGGTATTAAGGGTAGCTCCTTGTAGATGTGAAGGGAATAAGGAGAATCGAACCAGGGCCGCTGGCGGGGCTCCGAAGGAATTAAACTGAGCTGGGGTGACCAAGTTTCCCTTGTCATCAAAAAAAAAAAAAAACTGTTGTGTAATAAATCTTTAATTTATCTGAGTAGATGAGAAGATGGTAGAAGATGATAGGATCTTCTATCTTCATAATTGGTAGAGGCATCATGCATGTCTTGTGTGCATGTACAAATTGACCAAATATGACAAGTAATTCAAATAATTTTCAAACGTCAAGTAATTCAAATAATTTCCAAAACAAAACGAATTTTTATATAAAGCAAAATGATTTGAAAAAAGTTTAGCCTTGCACATACAATTGGATTATAGAGTTTTGTTAAGAAGAAATTTTCTAAACAAACCTATTCATAATTTTGTTCTAAAAAAAAACCTCCTTGAGTTTTTTTATAAAAATCGACTCATTTTGTCTTAATTTGGTTTCTAAATAGTTGGGATTGCCAATCCCGACTATTTAGTGCATAGAATGTTAGGGTTTATGGTTATAATTGGGGGTTTACAACCTTCTAAATAGTCGGGATTGGTAACCCCGATTATTTAGGAACCTGATTAAGATAAAATGAGTCTATGTTGGTAAATAAAACTCAAGGGGATCTATATTTAGAGGAAAAAATATGAATGAGTTTATTTAGAAAATTTATTCTTTTGTTAACAATAGGGGTACAAAGATTTGGGGGGAGGGAGAATTAGTATGGTACATTGTGTTCCCTCCCTCTCAGACTTATCCAGTGTCTCAGGCACACTAGACACTTGTTAACAAATTCCACAATATTATCAGAAGTTGTCAAATTAAATTCAGTCCCAAGCTATTTATGCCATCAATCCGTCAATTAACCGGTCAGTATTAAAAAGTGTATTAAAAACTATTGCTTCAGTGAATGTTCGATCTACCGGTGGGCCCGGTGGTTGGTGTGTGGGTGGGGTTGTTTGTGTGGGGAATAGTTAGCGAATATTGCAGTAAAAAATGTTACGCATTGTTGTAGGAATATTAAAATTTATTGTTTCAATATCTGTAAATTTAGAGACATTAGTAGCTTGTCTGACTGCACATGTCGAGATCACGGTTCTCTCTCCCAACATCACTTAATATCTCATAGTAATTGTGCTTTTGTTGTTCAAAATTAAAATCAACACGGACAAGGTTACCTAAAACTACCAAGATCACTATAAACATGAATTCAAAAATCTGATTTTTAAAACTTTCTTAAAGTTGGATTTGGTTTACTTTTGGTTTTTGTTAGCAACTATTAGGTTCATATCCCTGTGGAGGGATTTATGGATGTGTACATAGTGGTGTTTCCTCATGCTTTGTAGTTTTTTGTAGTGGACTTCAATACACACTTTTGGTTGGGAGTGTGTATTTTCATGTAACAACCACTTTTGTTAATATTTAGCTGGCTGAATTACCTTTGTGGTAATCCATCCTTTTTCTCAAAAAAAACATGAATTCAAAAACGCTGAACAATGCATCACGCATTCAGGGAGGGCGGTTCACTTGTCCCTCCTATTGGGTCCCCTATTTGGGGTCCCTGTAGCAGCACCCACATGAATTTGATGGGAAACACGAAGGATTATTTTTCTCCTCGCTTTCTTAACTATATTTTTCACTTTTTTTTAAGTTTAAAAAACGTGGGGGATGGCAAGGGACAAATAGGACAAGGGAGTCAAAAAAAAAATTTAGTTACTCCATAGTCTCTTCATATTCCCATACGTAGTTATGTGCTCCTTTGACATGATGAATGGTGATAGTCCTCTTTTTCCTCATCACAATGGTTGATTTTGGGTAATTATTTCCTGTGCGGTTCATGATTGAATGATGCCCACTCATGACAGCTTGGTAGTCGCAACGTTAGAGTCCTAGTTAGTTGCTGAAATAATAGCGAATAACGTCAGCTATGGTTGTTAGATTTGTTATGGTGGGCAAAATCATTATACGTTGCTAGATTTGTTAATCTAGAAATTAGTCTGTATCTTTGTTGTTGTTAAACTTTTATATGTTAACCCTTATGTATACTCCCCATAACGTTCAAACATGATAACTTGCATTTTGTTTTTGCTTTATATCATCCAATTAAGATTTACAAATAGGATAGGACGCGATGCGAAAACTTTTTTCTTTCTTTTAAATTTATGTTTATATTGTGTTAAATATTATAGTTAAGCTCTCCTATTTTCATTTGTTTTAATCTCACATTGCTTAGGATACTAGAACTTCTCTACTTATTCTTGTATATATATAAACACCTTATTTCTCTGATACTGAGATTAGGAATGCCATCTTCGGTCTTCATCCTGACAAAACTCCGGGCCCTGATGGATTCCCAATCCTCTTCTTCCAATCGTTCTGGGACCTTCTGAAACCTGACATCCTAGCCTTCTTCTCTCATATCTTCAATGATAGCTCCCACCTTCATATCTTCAACCACTCCTTCATAACCCTCATCCCAAAAATCACCTCCCCTAACCTTGTCTCTGACTTCAGACCTATCAGCCTCCTCAACAGCTTGTTTAAAATCTTCACGAAAGTGCTAGCTAACCGTCTTAGCCCTTTTCTGTCTTCTCTGGTCCATCCCTCCCAAGCGGCTTTCCAAGGTGGCAAATCCACCATTGATTCCATCGTGTTAGGTCATGAGATGATCAACCTATGCTTCTCTAAGAAGATTGAGGCCTGCATTCTCAAAATTGATTTCTCCAAAGCCTTCGATTGCGTGGGCTTGGACTTTCTTCTGTCTCTGCTCCAGGCTAGAGGTTTCGGCCCTAGATGGTGCTCATGGATCAAATCCACTCTGGTATCCTCCAAGTCCTCTGTCATTGTTAATGGCACTGCGTCAAATTCCTTCCTCTGCCATAGAGGACTCAAATAAGGAGACTCTCTTTCCCCTATGCTTTTTCTCCTTGTTGCTGACGTTCTCTGTAGGATGCTCCTTAACAGTTGCGACCATGGAGATCTATCTGAACTTCATCTCAAGGGCAAGCTTAACGATATCAAATCTCTTCAATTCGCAGACGATACTATCATCTTTTGCAGAGCAACTCCATCTGACATCTGCAACCTCAAATCTATCCTGTATTGTTTCGAAAATGTCTCGGGTTTAGCCATCAACTTTGCTAAATCCAATTTATTCTATAGCGGCAAATCTACCACCAAAGGACCTATCTTGGCTAATATCCTCAACTGCTCACTCGCATCACCACCCTTCAAATATCTCGGTCTTCCTATCAAACGAGGCTCTCTATCCAGAGCAGACTGGCAATCTCTGTTGGACTCCCTCCACCGCAAATTATCTCTATGGAAAAGCAAATATCTGTCCATTGGCGGTCGTCTTGTTCTTCTTAATTCAGTCCTCTCATCCATACCTCTATATTATACGTCGTTCTTCAAACTCCCCTCCTGGCTCATTAAGAAAATTGACAAGATCAGACGCAACTTCCTCTGGGGCAAGGCGCCAGATAGTATCTCAGGCCATAATCCGATCAAATGGGGGATTGTTTGCACCCCCAAAGCATGCGGAGGATTGGGTGTCATCAACCTGCATCTTTTTAACACCGCTCTTATCTCTAAATGGCTCTGGAATTTCTTGGATAACGATCACTATGTCGGTAGGATTCTCCAATCTATATACTCGTTCAATCTCCACAACCCATCCCCTCCCAATCAGTGCTCCAAATTCTGGAAAGATGTTCATTCGTGGTCTCTTGGTAACGACAATGGGGCCTGTTTTTGGGAAGACAAGTGGACCGGAGACAATACTCTTGCTAGTCTCTTTCCCAAAGTATACAACCTTGCCTTCTCTAAACATGTATCCATCTCTTCTCAAGGGAGATGGCAGGGATCCAGATGGGTATGGAAACCAATTATCAGGCGCCCAAGTTGTGATGAGGCCAGGGGTCAAGTGCTAGCCCTTCTTCAATACTTGTCAGCTCCCAACTTTGTGCCGTCCGCGATGGCAGATAGTCCCTCTTGGTCTATATAAGCTTCCAAGCT